TAATATTTTAATTAATTCTTAATTCTGGGAGTTGAAATAGACAATTGCACTTTATTCATTAAACTCCTGCCAAATACACCATGGTTCTTCACAGTATCTGAACCCAAATCACTATTGTGCCACATTCCCAAAAGTTGACAAAGTCCGACATCAAAATAAATGCAATAATCGTTAAGTTTGAGAATTAGTCATAAAATCACTTTTTTCAGTACTGTGGCAACTTTGAACGGTCACTAAACAAGTGATTGTAAATTGAGGATTACCTTTCTTAATAAATCAATAGTTAAATGTTGCTAGGTCTATTATTGAGTTTTGTCCCATTTTACAGCCTTTCTTGCTACAGTTGTTAAGTGAATTATTGCAGTTGTTAAATTAGTGACCTGGTTGTTACATCTGGCTTCCTCATCGACCTTGCTTGTTAGAAGGTCACAAAAGGGTATCATGATCCTGGAACCGTCACAAATGTGTCTGTCGCCAAGCATCTGAATTTTGATCACAGAGATGCTGCAGTGGTCATAAGTGTCAAAAATCTTTTTCCCCCCCAGTGCCATTGTAACTTTAGACAATCACTAAATGAATTGTTGTAAGTTGAGAACTACCAGTACCTGTAGTTTATATTACAGCAATTGTATTCATTACTGGCCACTAGAAGGCGCTATGTGACTGGTTTAATTCTTGTTAGAGTTTGTTACAGCATTATCCAGAGTTTTCTGAGGGTTTTTTTTCCAAAATAGCAGTAATGAGAAAAGCTTTCAATCAGTGTAGTGGTGGCTGAGTGATGCCACGGGGACTCTATAAGTCACTAATATAGAGAGAACTTACCAGAAATGCACATCAACTGAAGAAAAAAAGACCACCACCCCCAAAGGTGACCTTAATGCCATCCCTTTGAGTCAGCTTCAGTTTATGGGCAGAGCAGTCTTTCTTGCTAAACTACGTGTAGTCCTCAACTTACGACCACAATTGAGCCCCAAATGTATGCTGCTAAGTGAGAAATAGAATAAGTGAGTTTTGCACTTTACAACTTTTCTTGCCACATTTGTTAAGTGAATCACTGATGTTGTCAAATAAGTAGCATGGTTGTTAAGTGAATCTGGCTTCCCCACTGTCTTTGCTCATCCGAAGTTCACAAAAGGGGATCACACGACCACAGGACCCTGCAATAGTCATAAATGTTAGTCAGTTGTCAAGCATCCAAATGTAAATCACCTGCCCATAGGGATACTACAAGTGTAAAAAATGGTCATTAGATACTTTTTTTCAGGGCCATTATAACTTTGAACAGTCACTAAATAAACTGTTGTAAATCGAGGATACCTGTATAGATTATAATGTCCCATGGGGGGAAAAAGAAAATGAATGGGATGCTATCAATTAAAAGCATCCACAGCGGCAACAGAATTCGCTTCCAACTGCATCCATCTGTTAGGTAATTAGGCAAGTATGTTATTAGGCAAGAAAAATGAAATGCACAGGTACAATATAGGTGGTACCTTGCTCAATAGAAGTAACTGCGAGAGGGATCTTGGAGTCCTAGTGGACAACCATTTAAATATGAGCCAGCAGTGTGCAGGAGCTGCCAAAAAAGCCAATACAGTTCTAGGCTGCATAAACAGACGGATAGAATCAAGATCACGTAAAGTGTTAATACCACTTTATAATGCCTTGGTAAGGCCACACTTAGAATACTGCATTCAGTTTTGGTCGCCACGGTGTAGAAAATATGTGGAGACTCTAGAAAGAGTGCAGAGAAGAGCAACAAAGATGATTAGGGGGCTGGAGACATATGAAGAATGGTTGCAGGAACTGGGGATGTCTAGTTTAATGAAAAGAAGGACTATGGGAGACATGAGAGCAGTGTTCCAATATCTCTGGGGTTGCCACAAAGAAGAGGGGGTCAAACTATTCTCCAAAGCACCTGAGGGTAGAACAAGAAGCAATGGGTGGCCTTCCAGCTCCAACGGTCCTTGGAGGAAGCAAACTATCTCGACCCCTTCCAGTCAGGCTTCAGACCCGGTTACAGCACAGAAACCGCTTTGGTCGCATTGACCGATGATCTCTGGAGAGCCAGAGATCCTGGTTCTCCTCGACCTCTCGGCGGCTTTCGATACCATCGACCATGGTATCCTTCTGCGACGACTGCGGGAGGTGGGGGTGGAGTCCAAGTCCGACCGAAA